TAGGTAAGTTGAAAAATAAGTTTTTCCTGTCGACTGTGGTCAGAGTTGTGTATGAAAGTCTAAATAGAATGAGACATTAAAGATATGACATACCTTTATTTTATTATTCTCGTACGAGTACGTTGAGACATTTGTCATATCGCTTGATAAGCTTCAAAAAGCCTTCCAGGAAAAAATCAGGGCTTTGCATATGGAAGAAGCATTGAACGGCTTGTTAACAAATTAGTTCCAAAAGTCACCGATAGGGGAATATTTGGCGCTGTGTAATAGAAAATAGAATGTTAATAAATGCAAATTAATACGGAATAAAATTACCTTTTATTATGCACATTTTTTGATTTAGTTCAAGTGCAGGCAACACTTTTAAAAAAGCATAAAATCTACATAAACACCGATAAAGTCTTGTGATTTGCAATATCACATACACTGAGCAAAAGAAGAAGTTCTTTATTCAAATTTCATGTTACATCCATTTGCACAGTGCCAGCTGCTTGGGTTTGTTTTAAAAGGCAATGTGTTACGTTTCAAATAATCAGATTGGAAGTTTATGTGCAATGTCTCCTTCTCTAGTCGAGTGTGCATTACTGGTCAAATTCTTTTACCTCAACCAGTGCAACGCGTCAGCCGCTCTTCGTGCTTTTAGAACGAACAAAAAAAAAAAAAAAAAATGCGTAAAAGTTTAATCTTCCTACAAAATGTGGCGTCATTCTAACAAATGGATCGCGCTACAGAACACTGTGAGCACTGTCAGTTTAATTATGGCTACCCGGTACACACTCACTTCCAAAAGTTAAGCACGAAGATTTAAAATGCAAAAAAATCAACAAATATTGCTTTGATTGACACAAAATTCGGCTGGAAAGTAGCATATATATTTATGCATAAAGCAAAATCAATAATTATATACAGAAATGGAAAAAAATATTAAATTTTTGTAAGTTATCAGATAATGACATACTGGAGACTTAAATAGAATTATGTATAAAGTGAGAATAAACAGCATAAAATGAAAAAAAGAAGGACATTAATAGGGTATGAGATCCCCTTTCATCTGTATACAAAGTTTACACCTTGTGACCATGCTTTCAATTAGGTGGTCAACCACCGCAGAATTAAGCAATCGCCATTCTTCTTTTAGAGCAGTTTCCAGCTCGATAAGACTGGCTGGAGGTGGGAAACGTGAAGATACAACACAGCCGAGAGCATCATAAAGATTTTCAGTGGGATTAAGGTTGGGCGAATATGCTGGCTATGCCATACATGCAATCCCTTCACTCTCCAGGTAGTCATCGACGATGTCAGCTCTATGGAGACATGCGTTATCGTCCATTAAAACAAAAGTAGGGCCAACTGCTGCAGCGTACAACCCCTCAATGGGTTCTAGGACTTCATCTCGTTACCGGACACCCGTCAAAGAACCCAGTTTAAAGATGTGCAGGTCGCTGTAGTATCCTAATGAAATCCCTGCCCCCACCATAATGCTTCTGCCTCAGAATGCGTGTTCTGTGATGTTTTTGGACTGATTGCGTGTTCGTTTTTTATGACGTATCCTTATATGCTTGTCATCTGGCTCCAGAGCAAATCTTGACTTATCAGGGAACATGATATTGCGCCAGTCAGATTCATTCCAATTGACATGTTCCCGGCACCACTGTAATTGTGCCCCTCTTGATTGGACGGATAGAGGAACACAAACTCGAGGTACCGGGCGTACAGTTCACTCATGTGTAATCTTCGGCAAACAGTAACTGCAGATATCGCCTAACCAATGGATGCTGTAACCATAGATGTCACACATGTGGAGGTCGCTCTGCGATTCTGCTTGGCTACAATAGCAATATATCGATCTTCTGCAGGGTTGTAACCCTTGGGCGACCGGCTACGGGCCTTCGGACAACTGTCTGTGTGGTTTGGAATTGTTTCCATAAATGTGAAATTACAGAATGATGAACACCGAAGAAAAGAGCAACATCTGTGATCTACTGTCCTGCTTCAATGTGCCCCACAGAATGCCTGCAGTCAAAATCTTCCATTCGTCTTCTGGAAGTCATAGAAACACGTATGTCTTGAAAACAAATTGTACGAAAGTTTTAAACACTTTCTGTCAGCACTTACAATCAACTTCTGTAACCCTTGATAAAAATGGCTTCTTATAAAACTGCTTTTTTTGCATATTTCTTGACATGAAAGCGCGATTGGCTGTTGTACCTAACATATTTGTAACGCGAATGTACCTGAGATATTTGCATACTTATATCTACCTCTGCAGTGAATTGCATCCTCTTCAATTCTGATTATCTTCTGGAAATTAGCTTTTCCTCTCCGTGCTTAACTTTTGGAAGTGAGTGTATATATAGGTGTACTCAGTTTCCTTTATATTGTAAAATATCGTTTATGTAATGGCTTTTTGTGCTGTAGCAACATGCTCTAACACTTATAGAAATACGAAAGGAAGAAATAGTGTATTTCATGCTTTCCCAAAGCACAGTTTGCTTTTGACGAAAGAATGGATACATAAATGTTGAAGACGGGATTCTATAAATGTGAAAAATGTAAGGATTTGCAGCGAACATTTTTTGTGCAGTGATTATGAAGATGACATGAGAAATTGCTTGCTTGGATTGCCAGAAAAGAAACTGTTGAAATGCAATTCAGTTCCAAAAGTAAATTTATCATGTACAGTAAATGAAAACACTTGAAACTGACAATAATAAATCAAATGTGAGTGATTTTAAAATAAAACTCACAAATGAAAATGCCGTAAGTGATAATATCCCTGAATGCCCTAAGTGTAAAGATAAACAAGAATGCATTCATAATTTGAAGAACAAAATAATATCCCTAGAAAATTGTAATAAAATATTGAAATATTTTAGAATGTTTGCTCAGTGACAAAGAAGGTGGATGACATCTAGAAAGAAATTTGTCACGGAAAATTTAGAAATTAAGATATCAAATAGCGAAATTTAGGAAAAAACAGCGCAGATCGCAGAATTTGGAAAAACATCTAAAAAGCATATTTTGTTAAGTTATTGTTAAAGTTATTTTATTGTATCCTGTGTTATTATTGATTCGATATTGTGCTAGCTTAGCATTCTAGGTAAAATATAATAGTATAACATTAAAGTAATTGGCATGAGAAGACCTGCCTCCTTAACACCCACTTCTCAAAAATTAAATAATTTTTTTTAGGTACTGTGAGTAAAGTTTTGTCTAAATTAAGATAACAATCTTGCATGTATTTATTTAAAGTAATATTGATAGAAGCCTAAGTTACAAAATTATTAAAAAAATCTGTTATTATATTGAATCAGGAGAAAAATATGCCAATGTAAAGTTTACAATTAGGCTGAAACTCAACTTAAATTAGCAGAAATTTCTCCATATATAAATACATGTTATACATGTGAATTTAAGGTTCTTGTTTTATTTATTTTAAATAGCTGTTATTATAGTTATCTTAGAAGCAGTAGTAGAGTTCTCTTAGTTAACATGCAGATAAAGATATGATTAGAAATAAACAGGCATTTAAAGGGAAAAAATCCTGCAAATTAAAAAAAAAAGGAACTTTATGCTAAGCGTAGCATATTTTATCTGTTATTTTAAAATTGAGTAAGTACTATTAGATTTTTTAATGTTCAGTGTAAAATGCATACTGCAGTAACATTGTCTCTTCCAAATTATAGCTATTTTAAACGCTGGTTCTTCAAATTTAAAATGCTAATTTCTGTGTTGTGAATTGCATCTCCGTGCTCAGTGTCATCATGACTACGTCATCACTTCCCACTGCCTGTTTCAGGGGGAAAAGCTCTATGAGCTAGGCCTTCTCTTTAAAATTCTTTGGCTAGTCCTTTAGCATTTGTTCTGTTGTATCAGTATATTCAGAAGTGACTTCTGAACATACTGTTTCATAAATAGTTTGCTCCATAACTGAAATAGGGTTGGTGGTAGATATTCTTAATTGATGTACATTTTTTGATAATAATTTCTAAAAGAGTTCATATTGCAAGTCAGTTGAGGTGAATGAATGGCAGCAGTAAGTGGGCAATAAAAGCCTTCTGATTATGAGCCTTCTGGTCTACAGACACATGTACTTGTATTTGAGATGCAAAAGTGATGAAAATAGGTTGGAAAGAGACCATGCGGTGTAACAAAATTAGTTACTAATGAGATGGCTCTGTGTCTGTTTGTGCTGCCTTTAGGAATGAAACTATATGTGCGTTTGCGATTTTCTCCTAGATTTCTATTTCCCATTGTTGAATTACCTTTTCATGTACAATTCTTTTTAAGAGAAAGGAAGGTGTTAGGATTTTTAGCTCGTCTGCTTCATATTTACTGCTTGCTTCTTTAGTCAGTCTATCTCCTATTTCATTACCTATAAGACTTACATGGGCTTTAATCCACATAATTTGTATTTAAACTTAATTTTAAATTTGTATACAGACTTGATTAAAATAATAGATTTGATAGAAATTTTCAACTTGTATTAAACATTGCAATAAACATCTCATATATGCTGGTTTTATAAATGTATCTTATTGTATTTTGAGTGGTAATAATTAATTAAACAACTGAAACATTTTGATACACTTTGCTTATCATTTCATGTATCTTAATATGTAAAACAATGCTTAAACATAAATGCATTTTCAGGAAGCACCTGATGCATTCCAGCAGCACATATTGTGCTGCTTTGACATTTTAATTGGTCAAGATTAAAGTGTCTGAATAATTTAATCTTTCAATTGAAATAAACTTTGAATTTAAAGTTCTTTCTACACTCATAATTTTTTAGGATTTCTGTACCTGAACTTTTGTATTATCATTGTAAGTGTTATCAGTGTACTGCATTCTTTTAAACTGATGTTATTTATTTATTTATTTATTTATTTATTTATTTTTTTGCTAAGATTTAATGATTCAACTTTCAGTATGTGCATGTAAAAAAATAAAAATCGTTACTTAATGTTTAATTAAATATTCCTTTTTGTTTTTTTCAGGCTGGCGCCATTCATGATTCTTTTAATGAACGAATCTATACACCTTTAATGTTAGCAGTTGAAAATAATCATAAAGAAGTTGTTCATTACTTAGTTAAAAAAGGAGCTTTAGTTGATTTTAAGGTAACTAATGAAATGTTACACAATTGAATTTTGCAGTAGGATTTCATTATATAGGAGCCAAAAAACTGAAATTTTATTGTATTAAACTTATTTGTATTAGGCTTATTAATGCAATTAATAGTTCAACATTTAGTTCTCGTAAATCTTTGTGTTAATTTTATTTATGCTAATTTTTATTAGTAAATTTTTCATACAAAATTGTTCATGATTTTGATGTAAGTGGATTTAATATAAATTGCTCCTTTCATAGTTTTGCAAAATTTTAACTTTAATTCATGTACCTAGAATAATTTGAATTTTATGCAGTAGAAATAAATATATTTCTGAATCTGTTTCTGTAAAACTAGTACACAAACGAAAAGAGGGTACCTTATGCAGGGTTGCCACGCTACCTGGAAAACCGGGAGAACCGGGAAAAGTCAGGGAATTCGAAAATTGACCAAAATATTCAGGGAATGTAAGTATTTTTGTCAAAATCTGGAAAAGTCAGGGAAGTTCATACAACGATGCCGCCAAAAAAAGCGATTTTTGCGCCGACGTCGGAAGAGATAACTTTTTTGGAGAAATTATGTATCACGTGAGTGTCATTCGGGTAGCTGGCATAGAGCCAATTTTCGCAGCTCCAATTTGATTGTCTTTTAGAAAGGCAAAGCAACTTTCCCGCAACTTTTGGTTTCCAGTATTCTCGAGAATCGCATGTGCAGTGCATGAACTAAAGAAAGTACCTGTTCTCGTATAAAACAAAATGGGTTTAATCCTAGTATACGGTACCATGGAGGTTAGAATCAAAGAATATATATTGTAAAGAAGGAAAACCTCTCTGCAACAGACGTGGCTCCGTTCCATCATAGAGGGAAACAGCTGTGCATGTCTGATATATCTGTCGCCGAAGCTCGAAACCGGTGTCGAAGTTCGAAGATCACGTTATCAAGAGTTCATAAAATGAATATCGTTTAAAATTTCTTGAACGACATGCGCTGAAAGACGTGCCACGCACGTCGAGATGCTTTTGTCTCAAACCGTGAGCGACGTGAACACCACGTCGATAAGCATTTATCGCAAAAATGAAAATAACGTGGTGCACACGTCGCCTAACAACGAAATTGTTTATTTCTCGAGTTACAGCTCTGGATTGCACTCGCAGATGCGGAGCGGCGTAAATGAGACACTTTACCGCTTGTTATATTGTAGCGCACGGCACCGCAACCGTGAAGTTTAGTCTTAGCGCAAGTGGTTAAAGTCTAAAGGAAAAGAAAATATTTTTTGGCGCAAGTAAATTAATTCATGGATTAGTTATTTTCAGGGGGAAAAAAAACTACGAAAATCCGTTTTTAAAATTATTGCGTGGATTTTTCGCAATAATTTTAAAAACACATTTTCGTAGTTTTTTGTCAAAGAGCGTTTCTTCTTAACACGTGTTTCTCAATTTCCTGTACACAGCGCGAAGAGAGAAATTCTGGCCGCCAGGTTCCGTCGCCAAATCCCTTGGCAAATTTTCCCTCCGCATTCTAACGGCGTAATAGCATTTTAGTTGTATGGAACCTTTTCTTCTTTACATAGACGTTCTTTGTTTAGAATAATAATGGGATTTGGCGACATCATGATGCGCAGTAAACGGGTCATTTTGGTCTTGGCGACAATTTTCAAAATCGTGCCAAAGCCTTACCGTATACTAGAATTTTACCGCAAAATCTTTTTAAACCTTTTTTTTTTTTTTTTTAATAAATACCTTGCCATTTTGCAGTAAAATAAAAAATAGTAATCAGTCATCTAGGCTAATCATGTAATATAACTAGATTCGCTAAAATATCGTTGATTATTCTTATTCAATTTTTAAGTAATTATCTTTATTTTTATGTTATTCATATAATTTAATGATAATGCTTCTTCCCTCTAAATTTATTTATTATTAGTAAATAATATTTCCAAATTTCAGGAAATTTTCTCTGGCATAATCTTGAAATTAATTCTAGCAGTATGATGACATACCATCACGAAATTTAATGCACATATTTTTTCCTTATGTATGCTGCGAAATAAATATAAAATACCTCAATTTATTAAAATAGATTTCTTTCTTTCATTTAGCTGCAGAATGTCTGCAAAAAAAAGTCTTATTTTATTCCAGATTGGGAAGATTCTAATCTCAATCTTCAATGGAGAAAACAACAATTATTATAATTATATTTGTGGCTTCAAGTGTTAAGGTGCCTTTTAAGAACATACCTCACACAAATTAAATTTACCTAAAATCTAACCTAACTATTTAATTTTATATTTGCATTGCCTTTTAAGTTTAAATTTGTCTAAAATCTAAGATTTATAAGGACCGGATTAGCCTCGTGTTGAACTGGTGATGATCATGAGTAATAATTAAATAAAACATACATTTGTTATCCAATGTATATATCTTAAATTTTATTAAGTTTCTTAAGTGGAAAAGTAAACAAAATTATCAAACAAAGTATACCAAGAATAATTAAGAATAAATGTCCTCTGGGATTTAGTGAATAATTAAGTGAATTTGCTACACAATATAAGTAATACCATATTTAATTTACCTCTTAGCACAGCCAACGCACATTACGCGGATAGACTGGAATTTTCTTGAAACACACCTGGAAAACCTGGAAAAGTCAGGGAATTTCATTCTCCTGTTTGAGTGGCAACCCTGCTTATGTTATATGATATGCCATGAGTTATTTATTTTGTTTATTCTTATATTTTAAACGAAATGAGAGAGAAGGACATTCATGTTATGCATTATATAGTCCTGGCAGAAAATTACTGTATTAATATTAGATAATTTTTATGGTATGGATTATTAAGTATTCATAATATCTAATGAAAACTTGACAATAACTTCATTAATAAAAATAAATACAAGTATTAATAATAGTTGTAAAATACATCAGAAATGAATTGGTCATTATCTTAACTAATCAAAAAGTTTGTAATCTTTTAAGATTTATCAATGCAAATGAAGTTATAAAAATGAATAATATAAAAAATTAAAGTGAAGATTTTTCTTCCATTCTTTTTTTCCCACCCTTCTTGAAAAAAAGCATGCATTCCATCTTAGCTTTAATAAATACAAATAAAGCAGAGCTAAAAATAGAAACATTTTGCCATTTGTAGGATGCCTGAAATTTTCTGTATAGTAAATGTGTTACATTTCGAGCATAAATTCCAAAATTCTCTGGTGTCAAGATAATAAAATGTGTTCACATGAGCTGTTTCAATAGCATCTTTTCTTTTAATACCCATATTACTTCTCTTTACACCTACCCAAGTATTCTATAATATTCATTAGCTTGTTTTATGTGTTAATTTTATAAGGATGGTTTTAAATCTTTAAAAAATAGCTGTTTCAAAGTAGTAAGTATGGAGGCAAATTATAAAATTAGATTAAAAGAATGGACCACTTATCATGCTAAGGAAATCATGAATCTTTTATCATGTTACATCTCTGAAAAGGTGTAATATCTGCAAGTTAATACTCACATTACATTTTATACACATTTCAAGTTGTGTGTCAGCATGAAAAAAATAAAGGAATTTTATTGAACAGTAACATATATGCAACTGTGATAATTGCTAGGGAAATATATTTTTGGTATGTAGCTCATCCTGGTGTAGTTAACTGATTAGCATACATTTTTATTGTTTGAGTTTAGCTTTATTTTAATTTCATAACAATAGTTAAGTTCTGTTACACAAGCAAATTAGATAACATAAGCAATTTCTGATTAAAGAAATGCTGCTTTGTGCATTTCTCATCGATTAACATGTTAAATTTTACAGAGTTCATATTTTTATGTTTATGATTTATGTAACAATTTATCAGGAAATTGTTATCATTTAGTGTGAAAATGGAATGTCAAGTTTGCATCTTGCTGCAAAGAGCGGAAATTTGGACATATTAAAAATACTAATGACTTCAAGAGAGGTGGATTTAAATGCACAGGTAATTTATTATGCAAAATTCAATACTTTTTAAGAATTAATTAGAAATTTTTAAATGAAATGTCCTACAAATATGTCCCCCCTTACAAAATCATTTTGTGTTTTTAGTACATATTTTGTAAAATTTGCTTTTAAATGTGAGTAGTGCTGTGAAGATTCTGCATTTTGCATTCGTATATATCTAAGTCTAGTGCTTAGAGTTATTGTTGTTTTAAAATTGTATTTGAAATGTTATTCTATTTGGGATTTTAGTACATATTTTGTACATTTTGTACATTTTAGTACATTTTGTGTTTTTAGTACATTTTGTGTTTTTAGTACATATATTGTAAAATTTGCTTTTAAATGTGACTAGTGCTGTGAAGATTCTGCATTTTGCATTCATATATATCTAAGTCTTGTTCTTAGAGTTATTGTTGTTTTAAAATTGTATTTTAAATGTTATTCTATTTGGGATTTATTTAAAATAAGGATTCTTAACCAGGAATGAGTTCTTCCCAAGAGGGGAGTTTTATAGTTTCAGAGAGGATTTGTTTTATTTCTTTCTGTTAGACTCACTGTAGCAAAAGCAAAGTCATGAAAAAGACTGGCTATGTATTGAAATCATGGTCTGAAACATATGAAAAATGTTAAATCTGGGCTTCATGGAAACTTATACATAAATATAAAATTTTCCTTATTTATATATATTCCTTTATGATAATTATAATCTATATATTAATGATAATACATTACAAGATAATCATAATCTATATATTAATAATAATACATTATAACACATTATGATAATGAATTAGTATATTATGGTAATCTATATATAATGATAATATATATTAAATAAATATAAAAATCTATATATTTTTTGCATAAAAAATCTTTTAATTTACATGCTTTTTTTATACTATATTGAAGCAAAATATTTTCTGTTTTCAGTTTTACATAAATAGAATACACCTCTTGAATAAAAAAAATTCAAGGGAGAATGGCATTCTAAACACATTGTGTATAGGGGGAGCGTGAGACAATAAAGTTGGGAAATACTAACTTAAATTTATCGGATGTGGAAACAAATATTGAGAATTAATATTGCAAATCTTATTTTTTTAATCTTTGTTTTTTTATAGTTATTTATTATTTAGTTGTGCCCTTACATTTAACATGCCGAATCCGTGACAGTTAATTCTCTTTTGGTTAGGATGATGGTGGATGGACTCCCATAGTGTGGGCATCTGAACATGATCACTATAATGTTGTCAAATATTTGCTCAAAAGAGGTGCCAATCCTAATATAAAGGACAATGTAAGTTCAATATGTCATAGTCTTGTGTCTGTAAATTTTTTATATGTTAGTTAATGAAATATTGTATATTTTTATACCTGTTGCAATTTTAGTTAAGAGTTCACTTGGGGAATAATATGCATTTTTTTTTTAAACATCTTATTATCTCGTTTTACAGGAAGGTAATACAGGACTTCACTGGTCTGCATTTTCTGGAAGTGTTGATATATGCTACCTATATCTGGATTATGGTTGTGACATCAATGCCATAAATGAACTTGGTGATACTCCTCTGTATGTTATGCATTTTTAAAGTTATTTTATAGAGTGAAAGAATTTTAAATAAGTTTGATATGTTAGGAGATTTCAGTAAATGTTTCAAATTTGGAAGACTGTTTAACATTTTAAAACACAGTGGAAAATCTATTGTTCCAACAATAGCCATGTCCACATCATTAATATAATTTCCAACAAATGCTTTATTCTAAGTTGTATTTTTTTGAAAAAATTTATTATTCTATTTCTGTTAGATTTTAGAGGTTTCAGGATTAGTTTTCACTTTAGATTTACAAAAAATATTGACGGAAAAATAAAAATGTGTATGAGATGATGCCAGGCTTCATCAAGATTTCTACATTTACAAAAGTTTTCTACATTTCTGTACATATGAAATAAAAGTGGCACAGACTATAAGCATTTTAATTCTCAAAAGATATATTTTCAATTTAGGCAAAATGAGTTCAAGAAGCAAAGGACTATGTATAACACTTTTGTTAAGAAGTATTTTTAATTTAATGAGAGTTGCTGTGTCTCCTGGCAAAACTCAGACTCTTATTATTTTATCTCATTTCCTTGTCTCTTATAAAATCTGTAATACTCCTGGCTTTAATTTATCTGGATTTGGATCATTTCTTTCGGATATAATTTTAGAAAAACTGTTGATAACAAAGTGTCACAGAAAACAAAAATGCCACAAAGAAAAATTTGAGAGCATGTTTTCCATTCGTAGCCATTTTGTAATAAAATATAAAACTAGGCAAATTCTATTTCTTAAATGATATTTAGTACAGTACAAAGTCTGTAATCCGGACGTCCATTATCCGGAATGATCTATAATCTGGACCTCAAAGCCACAAATTTTTTTGTATGCTTTTGCGCATGCGTGTAAATGCATTATGCGCATGTGTGTAATACGTTTACACATGCACGTTTAGCACAAAAAACGAAGCAACTTAAACAACTTACATTGAAAGAAATGTTTAATAAAGTAAACAAATAAATATAACAAATAAACAAATAAATAAAGTTTTTTTTGTTGTAAATTTTGATACCCATTAGATAATAATTGCTCTTTATTTCATAAATTACGGTTTCATATTTTTAATTGTATAATTTTTGCATATATCTTACCAGATTTAAATTGACTTATAATCAGGAAAAACCCTTAATCCGGAATTGCCGAAGTCCCGAAGAGTCCGGATTACGGACTTTGTACTGTATAATGTTTCTGGTTAATTTTTTTTTATCTATTTTGTTTCAAGCCATTGTAGAGATTGATAGAGCATTTTATGAAAACTAATGTTTAAGTGGTAGATATTCGTATTTAATGTTACTTTAGTATTTAAATGGTAAATTACTAAGCTTATCCACATATTTAATAATTTCTGTAATTAACATGAAATGTATCTGTTACATAATTTTTTTGGAATAGTCTTGCTTTGAATTTCAAGTTGGAATTCAGGCTATTTTAAATCTAACATTTCAGTATGTAGGCCTTGTATTATAACACTTTTCCTAATATGATTTTGAATTAGACATTGAAAAATTTTATATGCTAATATGACATATTAATAAAATACATGTAAAGCTTATATTTTATTACTGTCTTTGCAGGTAAGACATTGAAAAATTTTATATGCTAATATTGCATATTAATAAAATACATGTGAAGCTTATATTTTATTACTGTCTTTCCCAGTAATTCTGTCATAACTTTGTATTAAAAAATTAAGAAATGTATGACAGTGAATTCATTTAATGTAATCATAAAATATGAACCATTTAAAATTACTTAAGTACTAAATTTTAATAATAATCTAGATCAAATTACCTGAAAATTCGTCTGATCTTGGGAATGAATATGTTAACCCTTTGACGTGCAGTGGTCGCGTCCTGAAACCACCAATTTTCTCCCTTTTTTTTCCAAAATTTTTGAGTGAAAATTAATCGATTACTGATCTTTTACCTCTAAATAACACAAAATGACTGCAGAATCCTACATGTTTTAAGTTTTAGTACTTTCAAATCAGATGCCTTTTAAAATTCGTTTTGAGTGAGACAAAAGAACTTCCTTTTATAAGCAACTTTACATTTGAAAAGTTATTCATCGCACATCATGATTTGTATTATGAGCAATAAAAAATTTCAAAAATTAAACTACATATATAAAGAAAAACCTGTCTTTATTTATGGCATTTGATTTGTGGTTTCAGGGCGTGACCACCGCACCACTAGAGCATTGTGTGACAATGCTCACAATCCTCTAAAGGCTTCGTGGTCACTCCATGAAACCACTACTCTTCGCAATGGCGTTTACTTGCTTTTCAAATAGGAATGTTTATATTTACGTGGATATAAGCTTTGAAACCACAGAGTTGTTTTATTACTAAACAATACATGCACCTGCCCAGTGAAAAGGTCTTTCTTTTTCAGAGATTTTTCTCTAACCTCAACACACTAACCCAAGCTAGTATTGTGATTTTATAAATTATTTGGTGTGGTTTAGATTTAATGTAAATATACTTTTCTATAATTAAAAATAGAAATTGTGTTAAAATTTTATTTAAATTAAAAGTATATTTTAAATATTTTGGGATGAAATACGAATAAAATAAACGAACGATCCGTACCAAAGCCAAAAAAGACCAAGCCCCCTCCGCAATTAATATAAAAAAACACAAACTTCATGTACCAGATGAAAAAAAACTAAACGCTGGACATATACCAGTGAAATATAGAAGATCCAGGCAGTGTACATTTTGTAGCCCAAGGAAGAAACTTCATAGAACAAGATACAAATGGGAAATGTGGGTCTATGCATGTACCAAAAAGACAAAACATGCTTTGAACAGTGTCATAAAAAATATGTCTTGAATTAAAAAAAAAAAAAAAAAAAAAAAACCCGAGTTTTTAAAAATTTTTTAAAATGTTTATTTTTAAATTTTTTCTGACGATTTACTTTGTAAAATAATGTAAAAATTTACATATAATGCCATTCTTACATACATTTTTTAAAAAATTCGTAAATTTCGTCATTTATTAGAAACGCACACGGAAAAAGGTAAGTTTCAAAGTCATAGACGAGCGCTGGTTTCACAGTGCGACCACCACCCACAGAACAATGGGCAAGAGTAGATTTTTTTTTAATTCATATATTACTTTTCTCTAGGATCACAATATTCAATTTTTAGAGTTTTTAGTTTAAAAAATTATAAAAATAATATAACGCGTGTCAAAGGGTTAAAGCAGTGTTTCCATTTATTTTTTTATTCTGAAGCCATTCCAATAATTTAAAAAATAGTATAAGAACTAAAACTGAAAAATTTAGAAGTGACATACTTGTAATATCTTTTAAATGATGAGATACATTGAACCATACTATGCACTTCCAAAATTTGTGAGAATTTTTAGAAAAAAAATATATTATAAAATGTATTTTCAAAATATTATTAATTAATGTTAACATTTTATATTGTTGTATCTCATTCAATGTGTCATCTGTAATTTATTCAGCATAACACTACCACTTAATATTTCAGTCCATAAAAACATTCTAATTTAAAACTGAATTAATTTTAAATAAAAAAGTGTTTTACTAAAGCCTGAGAAGTACAGCATATGTTTGCAGGATTTCACATTGGAATAAGTATATTTAGGAACAATTAGTTCCTTACATTTTTATTTATTTACTTAGTCCAAAATTTTTTGATTAGAGGTAGACTTTCAACCTTATTTTTTAAGTTTTTAAAGACTGAACGATTCACTCTAAAAGGAGAGTGAAGAAAAATTTGATTCTACTTTCTGATTATCTATAGTTGCTTTTACAATTTGAAAAGGTGTCAACCATTGGTGACTGAATTTTCATAAAGTTAAGACACAAATGAGAATGATCATTTTCTAAAAGTCCAATGCTCTATAAAACAGCAGTGTGCTAACAAAATCAAAAATGCAAGAATCATCAATAATAAACTCTCTCCATTTTTTTTCATTATTCTCCCGATGAACACAGCAATTTGTTTTACATTAAAAAATATTAGAGAATTGTAGGAACTGGGTATCATGCACAACTTGCCATTGTGTTTACTGTCAGTTCTCGCCATTTACACAACAATGAGTTTTCTGTTGAAAAAAAAAAAAAAAAATCAGAGAACTGAACAAATTTGGCATCACACTCACTGTTCTCCCATGCACACAACAAACTGTTTTCAATCAAAAATATCATCAGGTAATTACACAGATTTGGCATTGGTGCAAAGATTTTTATCCATAAAATTCAGTCGTTTATGATGCGCAACTTTGTTGAAATCAAATTTTGACAATATCTGCTATTAGGAAAATGCTATGTTTCTGATGAAATGCAAAAGAAATTTTTTTTGGGGGGGGGGCCCTCATCAGTGGACAAGCCTCACAGTCCCATTAAGACTCCTTGCAAGGAAAAGAAACATATATTCAGTAGAACAAAAACAAACACAAATAGCTGTCGAATCTGAAGGTGGAAATGCAGTCTTTAGTGAAAATCAGTGCTCATTTGTTGTGCATGCATGTATGCCTGGGATGCCACTTAAATAGATTTTGCTGACATAATGAATTACATATTTTTTTAATATAGCACATTGCCTCGTGAATATTTTTCAAGGGAACTCATATAATCAAAAAGTACTTTTTCTTTTTTACTTGATTATGATTAACATAAGCATTATTAAGCCATAGAATCTTATTTTCTTCAGGCAGATGTGTTTAAAATGCATGCTTTATCATCTTATTATTTTTTTTCCAGCCACATTGCTGCCAGACAAGATAGTTTTCCCTGTGTAACGTAAGTTATTTTAGTTAATAACAGAAATAATAATTTAAAATAAGATGATTTCTAAATTAAATATTCTTAACTCCATTTCATCATGCTTTGACATGTCGTTGGTCAGACTTTAATTCCATAGATTGCAAATTTTATTTTTTCCAGTCATGTTTTTTTGTATTTAGTGTTTAAAACTTTGCTTTCCTTCAATTCTTCATGTACCCATTTCACTAATAAGTTCATTATAGCAAGTGAAGTGAGAAGTAATTAGACTAATGCAAGCTTCTCAGATTTTTCGTCTTTTCTCTTGTATTTGGTAGTACATTTTGAATATTCTTATTCTTAGCTGCAATGCTACTATTATAAGGCATTTGGTAAAAGTCGAATGATTAATATTTGTTCATAAAAGGGTAAAATAGTTACAATTGTATTATGCTTTATTCGGTATCTGTATTTTGTTTTTCTATATTGAAAACACTACTTAAAATTTTGTTTTTCTATGGATAAATGTATCCTAACAGAGATGTAGTGAGTCAGTGAATGCCACCATCCTAAAAAAAAAAAAAAAAAAAAAAAAGTTTGAAATTAATGATATGCATTTATATCATATATACTCTGTAATAGCTTTTTAAATTCATGCACATTTTTCAGCAATGTACAGTTTTTAAACACTGAAAGTTTTTACTGCTTTTAAATATTGAAATTTGTTGTGTTTCAATTAATTTATGGCACAGGATCATTGCATTTCAGTTTGCTGCTGGTGTCAGCCATTCTCTACTGACATTTTAATACACTAATGGAAAATATATTATTGTTTCTTCTTCTTCTTTGAGTTCAGTTACATTATTAAAATTTGTATTGTACAACATCAGAGTGAGCGTTGATGAGAGCATTTCAACTAAATGACCAATGGTGCATGAAATCTTGAAGTGCAACTCCTTTAGACCATTGGTTTTAAAATATTTCACACTGATGACTAGCAGTATGGAAGCGCTGTCAAAGAGGAATCACAAGTATTTAAGATCCTTTAGAACAGTGGCTTTGAAGGTTTCACGCTGATCACCAGTGATATGAGAGCGCTATCAAAGAGGAATCTTAATGGTTTCATATTGATGGCCAGCAATATGAAAGCATCATCAAAGAGTAATAACAAATATTAGAGCTTCTTTACAGCAGTAGTGGTTTCACACTGATGACCAACAATGTGGAAGCACTACCAAAGAGGAATCCCCAAAATTAGAAATCCTTTAGAGCAGTGGTTTTGAAGGTTTCGTACTGATGACCAACAATATGGAAGCACTATCAAAGAGGAATCACACATATTTGGCAGACACTGTAGAAAAGTATCCTTATTTAATGGAGATAGAAATAATTGTGCTAGTTAATATCAGCTCTCAGTTTATTTTTTATGATAGAGCAAATAAGTTGAAAAAGACCTTGATATCAGTTGCATATTTTTAATAATTGCTCATATGTTCTCATTTTACCTCTTAAACTAAAATGGATCTGTTTGTGGACTGTTTTATGATAGGTTATTAAAATTAGTTTAATTCAAGGTTTCTGCTTTATGAATTGATGTTAACGATTCTTCCAAGAACACATGCTAAAACTTTTGTGGCATTAAGAAAGGGACTGTAGTTTCTTGAGTCATGCCTTATCCAAGTGGTAGTCCCTGATTTATCCCTTATAGCTTCTGAAATAACATGCCACTGCTACAACAAAATCATGGTATCAACAGAATTAATGTTTCACACGAAAAGTTCATTGAAATGTGACCTCTGCTAGTCGTTCGATAAGAATTCATCATCATCATTCAGCCTGCTAATGGCTTGTTGATCACCAAATTGAACCAACTGGACTAAGAGGTTTTATGAAGCATCTACTATAGAGTCCTGAAATTAGCCCAACTAACATCTGTTTTCTTTTAACAAACTATTTGAGAAATATTGTATCTTTCAAATTATTTTGCTTACTTTGTGCCTTCCTTTCTCATCTGGTATTCTCTGATTCATAGGTAGAAGTGCAATGAAGTGGCTATATGGATTTTCTGTCTATTTCATTTTCTACCTTTGCAATCCATGTTTTAGCCACTAAAGAAAAATTTTTTTAATGATATGATTATATATATGCTACTTACAGGTGACTGTGTTTTAACTGAATGTGTCACCAATAAAAATCATTAGCCTTTAAGTATTCTTTTTATCCATATACAGACATGCATAAACATATATCTCGTAGGGTGAATTTATTTACTTCTTTGAATTGTTATATCTTGTATTATTTTAAGTGTTATGTGTATTAAGCACTTTCTGATTATCCGCATCCACATTAATAGTCACCTCTGTGTTGCATACTTTATGAATGGATGAAAAATATTTAACTGAGTATCTTTATAGCTCATATGTATTGTTCTGGCCATAAATAACAAACAAACACATTCACACACACAAAAGAAAAAAAAAAAGAGTACAAATGTTAGTGAAAAAATATTTTATATGGCCGATATTTATATTTTTATTACCAGTGGGTGTCAATCAGTATATGACTTAATATAAAGCATGTAAATCCATGTACACTGAAACGTGTGATATACACATGCATAAATTAGCTGTTGTCATCTATATGCAAAATTATGCCCAAACTTTAACAGTTGTATGGTATATTTTAAAGTTTAACTGTTGAAACCAGCGGTATGGATAATCAGAGTGTACCATATAGTATTTTTTGTAGAATATTCAATAAGTGCTTTTATCTGTTTAATATTCACAATTATTTTTTAAGGCTTTTCTTGTCAAGAGGAGCAGATGTCCAAATCGTGAACAAGGCAAATCAGCTTCCAGCAGATGTAATTTATCTGTTTATTTGTTTTTAGTATTAATAACAGGGTTGCCACGCTACTGGAAAACCGGGAGAACCGCAAAAAGTCAGGGAATTCGAAAATTGACCAAACTATTCAGGGAAAAGTCAGGGAATTTAAGTATTTTTGTCAAAATCTCGGGCATTTTTGACATTTTGTCAAAATGTCAAAAAATTTTGTCAAAAGTCGGGGAAGTTCATACAATGATCCCGCCAAAAAAAGCGATTTTTGCGCCGACGTCGGAAGAGATAACTTTTTTGGCGAATTGTGTATCACGTGAGTGTCATTCGGGCAGCTGGCATAGAGCCAATTTTCTCAGCTCCAATTTGATTGTCTTTTAGAAAGGCAAAGCAAGTTTCCCATAACTTTGGGTTTCCAGTATTCTCGAGAATCGCATGTGCAATGCATGAACTAAAAAAAGTACCTGTTCTCGTATAAAACAAAATGGGTTTAATCTTAGTGTACGGTACCATGGAGGTTAGAATCAAAGAATATGTATTGTAAAGAAGGAAAACCTCTCTGCAACAGACGTAGCTCTATTCCATCATAGAGGGAAACAGCTGTGCATGCGTGATATATCTGCCGTCAAAGCTCGAAACCAGTGTCGAAGTTCGAAGGTCACGTTATCAAGAGTTCATTAAATGAATATCCTTTAAAATTTCTTTAACCACTTGTGCTAAAAAGACATGCCACGCACATCGAGATGTTTTTGTCTCAAACCGCGAGCGGCGCGAACACCACGTCGATAAGCATTTATCGCAAAAATGAAAATAACATGGTGCACACATAGCCTAACAACAAGATTGTTTATTTCTTGAGTTACAGCTCTGGATTGCACTCGCAGATGCGGAGCGGCGTAAATGAGACACTTTACCGCTTGTTATATTGTAGCGCACGGCACCGCAACCGTAAAGTTTAGTCTTAGCGCAAATGGTTAAACTCTAAAGGAAAAGAAAATATTTTTTGGCGCAAGTAAATTAATTCATGGATTAGTTATTTTCAGGGGAGAAAAAACTACGAAAATCCGTTTTTAAAATTATTGCGAAAAATCCAAGAAGAAACGTCCTTTGATAAAACAATTCTTCTTGGATTATTCGCAATAATTTAAAAACGGATTTTCGTAGCTTTCTTTTTGTCAAAAAATGTTTCTTCTTAACACGTGTTTCTCAATTTCCGGTACACATCGCGGAGAGGGAAATTCTGGCCGCCAGGTTCCGTCGCCAAATCCCTTGGCAAATTTTCCCTCCGCATTCTAGCGGCATAATAGCATTTTACTTGTATGGAACCTTTTCTTCTTTACATAGACCAAAGAATTAGAGATTCTTTGCATAGATGTTCTTTGGTTAGAATAATCTCCATGTATGGTACAAAGGGATTTGGCGACATGATGATGCGCAGTAAACGGGTCATTTTGGTCTTGGCGACAATTTTCAAAATCGTGCCAAAGCCTTACCGTATACTAGAATTTTACCGCAAAATCTTTTTAAACCTTTTTTTTTTTTTTTTTAATAAATACCTTGCCATTTTGCAGTAAAATAAAAAATAGTAATCAGTCATCTAGGCTAATCATGTAATATAACTAGATTCGCTAAAATATCGTTGATTATTCTTATTCAATTTTTAAGTAATTATCTTTATTTTTATGTTATTCATATAATTTAATGATAATTCTTCCCTCTAAATTTATTTATTATTAGTAAATAATATTTCCAAATTTCAGGAAATTTTCTCTGGCATAATCTTGAAATTAATTCTAGCAGTATGATGACATACCATCACGAAATTTAATGCACATATTTTTTCCTTATGTATGCTGCGAAATAAATATAAAATACCTCAATTTATTAAAATAGATTTCTTTCTTTCATTTAGCTGCAGAATGTCTGCAAAAAAAGTCTTATTTTATTCCAGATTGGGAAGATTCTAATCTCAATCTTCAATGGAGAAAACAACAATTATTATAATTATATTTGTGGCTTCAAGTGTTAAGGTGCCTTTTAAGAACATACCTCACACAAATTAAATTTACCTAAAATCTAACCTAACTATTTAGCATTGCGTTGTGATTTATAAGGACCGGATTAGCCTCGTGTTGAACTGGTGATGATCATGAGTAATAATTAAATAAAACATACATTTGTTTTCCAATGTATATATCTTAAATTTTATTAAGTGGAAAAGTAAACAAAGGAAACAAAGTAAACAAAGTTTCTTAAGTGGAAAAGTAAACAAAATTATCAAACAAAGTATACCAAGAATAATTAAGAATAAATGTCCTCTGGGATTTATTGAATAATTAAGTGAATTTGCTACACAATACAAGTAATACCATAATTAATTTACCTCTTAGCACAGCCAACGTACATTACGCGGATAGACTGGAATTTTCTTGAAACACACCTGGAAAACATGGAAAAGTCAGGGAATTTCATTCTCCTGTTTGAGTGGCAACCCTATAATAATTTTTTGTTATAATATTTGTGTTTTAAGGGTGTTTTTACAATAATAAATGCCTTCATAATTTACTTGCATTTATGCATATGTATATGTGTTTTTATCATTTACATACATGATATTAAGTATGAAATCACTTTAGATTAGAGAATTTCAGCAAAAGTCTTTTGCTGCTTTGCCTGTTTAAATGAAAATCCATTTAAATTAGTTGGTAAGTGTGCTAAAGGTACAAAATGTTCAATTTTATTTTCCAGACTTATGGAACACCTTGTATCTTTATTTTGTAATATGCTGGATATTTATATGCTGGTCAATAAAGTTAATGGGATGATGCAGTATGTAACGGAAACAGATGTGTGGCCAATGAAAATTACTCAAGAAAATTATGACCTTGAAAATATGATTTGCAATGCAAAGAGTCTAAGGGAAAAGATGTCTTTGTGGAGGACTTTCAGGGGATAACTGATTTATATCCATGTTATGCATGGGGAAAATAATGAAAAGGTCCAAATGATCTAGAAAGAGCACCAGTAGTGATGATCAAAGAATCATGAACCAGACATGTTTCGATCCCATTGTGACCTGGTTTATGTAAAAATACATGTAGCTTTCATTGCTGTTTTCCCACATATCATTTCCAGATGTTTTGCAGAAGTGAATCTGCGATTTTGAGTGTCACTTAAATATGTTGTCTTTAACTTTGGAACATTTGGAACATTAGTAGTCTCTTTGTGATGGTGCAAGAGTAATGGAAATGCCACAAACTGGCAGTAATGTTTATGGATGAGTGCTACTTTATTTTAAAGGTAGAATATGGGTGTCAAATTACCCTGATTAGCAATCTAAAACCTTGCATACTTCTGCCTTTGCAGACACTGAAGTCTGGGCAGTCACAATCCATATTCTAATAATGGACATGGTATGTTGCAATCTGGCTGCCAAGATGCAAAAGTGGCTAGTGATTCTGACCGCTATACAGAAGGGCCCTGGTTCGAATCCCGAAGAAGGTATGGATGTTTTTCGATTCCTTCGTAGGAGGAAATGGTGGCCCACGTGTTAGGTGCCTCCATAATAAAGAGACCACCACTTCTGCCTTTAGTAGTAGTTAATGCCAATAAATGGCTAGAGCCCACATTAGAGAATTTTTTTTTAAAATAATCTAGCAGTGTATAGACGAGATCCTAGACTTCCAGATTTCTACCATTCACGGCCAAGATTCCAGGTATAATATTTTAGTAGGATATTGCTAGACATGTACAGCTCAGGTTGTCCAAGACAGCTTATGTCACATCTAAGCACTAAACATTTTCATGGCCTTTACCTCGAATATGTCTCATAATTGAGCATATGTGTATAATCATTTGAAACACCAGCTGCCATCTTGCCAAGTATCAGAAAACTGGAATTCACCTCGGTCAGTTGTGAGCCACTGTGAGAGGATAGTACCAAGTCTCTTCAGCTAATCCAAATTCTAGCATGCAATTGGTGCAATGTTATTAAGGATGACTATACTATTGAGCAGTGCTGTGCTGTTGATGCAATATGTTATTGAGCATATGGTAGATCCCTCTGCAACTGTCCTGCTATTTGTCTTTGTGATTTTCCTTTTTATTATTCCTTGATTAACTTTTCCTTATATTTTGATTATATTAATTAAATTTTGGTTCAATCCACTTCTTTCTATGCACACTAATGCAATTATTTCTGAGAATTCTAATTTTTGCAATAATTTGCAGTTGTGTATTTATATTGACAGATATGTAGATTCAGTTAAAATTGAATTATTACTTATTGAATAATTCACATTTCAAAAATTATTTGTAATCTTAATCATATTTTTTAAAGTATATGTTTTAAATATATGTCCATTAAATCTTTCATAAAATATTTACTATTTTATGTCCTTTATGACTAGACGTGTGCTAAAATTTTGTTTTATATACATTACAATGTGATTTTGTAATATTGAATGCATTCAATATTACATTATTGCATTAAATACATTGTATTTAATACATATACAATACAAAGTTCAAGATCCGGAATAGTCAGGACTATGGCAATTTCAAATTTTAGATCATCATTTAAAATGCAGTAAGATGGCAGATAGACATGGTAACATTGAGGCTTTGATAAAAAAAATAGGCAGATAGAAAAATACTAACCCTTTCCAAGAGCTGGTGCAAACCAGGCTGAAGAATTTGGAGGCAGCGAAAATTTTAAAATTCTGAGGAGCACCGAACAGCAAGAATTAAAGACCTTGAGAAATGAATTTTCAGGAATGATAGTTCCATCCCTGCCTGGCCCCACACAGTCAGTTAAGGGCTAAAAGAATGATTCTGGTCAGATTAATACTGCCTCAAACAGTGTATTGTTTATTGCCTACAGTGCGACTTCCTAGACTGCAGGTATTTGAAAGTGACGGGCATAATCTCAGTTAGTCAGGAAAAAAAGTCCGCATTTACGACATACTTACTTCCTTTTATTGAATATTATAGTCTCCATTCCTAGACTTTGTGGTGGTGGTGGGGATTTTTTATTCATTCATTTTTTCATCTGGTGGTTCAGAGGTCTGTATATTGAATGCCTGAATTTTGGACTTTGTATTGTATAATAGCATAATTTAATATATTAACTGCATTGTGTAAATTTGCTTTCAGTGTTGCCTTGACAAAAATAGTGATACTTATTTATCACTCAGTTTAAATTTGCTGCTGCGAAAAATAACGGCCAAATACAAGCACAAAGCTGAAAAAATTATACATAGGTATGTATATTTCATGGCCACTTTAAAATGATTGTTTTCTGAGGAGTTAAAAGCTGTGACAGGAAAAAAAAAATATTTTAAAGAAAATTATTACTATATTAAAATAAAGTATAATTAAATTATATATTATTTATTCAGAGGGTTAATCTGAAATGCTCTAAGAGAATGTTAAGTATATTTATCAAAGATAATGCCATGTAATAGAAGTAAATAATGATAGAAAGAAATTTCTCCTTCAACATATCAATCATAATCCGTAACTGTAATTAGCAGGTTTTTAATTAGTGATTGCAAAGAATAGAATTTTTAAGTTAAGAGCCTATGTACAATAATGTTAGTTATCCACATACAGAAGCATTGGCGTAAAATTAATTTTTTAATCTATTTGAAATAAAATATAATATTTACTGTATATTGGAAAGCTCTTTGAGTTTTACACTAAACTATTCCTGTTTTAAGAGTACTTAGGAGTATTTCTTCCCTATTCTTTTGTAATATTGTCGCCGAAAAACAGATCAGTTTGCCTTCATTATGTAAGTCATTCAATAATTAGAAGAAAGAAAGAATTGAAGTCTTTTTATATTTATTAAAAAAAATGAAACAGGCAATAATGCTGACTGCCAGGAGAGCATTAACAGCTGTAAGAAAAATAGTTATAATATGCAGATAGTGTTAGAGATCGCATGCATTATATCATATGATTGAAAAGAGAGCTTACATACTGCATAAAGCTTTGAAGGAGTATTTGAATATGAAAACTGATTAATTAAGAAGGAACAGAGTGGTGTATTTGATTGTGGAAATGCCATTACCATTTTTCTAAGGGTAATAGTTTCTTTTTCTTTCCATATTGCCTTTTGCTTACAGCGATATTATGAAGTAGTGAAATCTACAGATTATTTTTAGATGAGAGCATTGAAGTTTGTTGTTTTGATAATTTCTTGCTATTTTATCACTCATTCAGATTTAAAAATAACATTTTATTGATGCCTTCTAAGAACTAACTGATTAACTAAATCATTAGATTGCATACTACTTGATTACCAAATTTCTTTTGATCTGATTGTCTTAATCTTCTATAGACAATACTGTAAAATGTACTATATGTAAAATACTGTAAAATGTACTGTACTATATGTAAAATACTGTAAAATGTACTGTACTATATGAAAAATACTGTAAAATGTAACGTCTTCTATAGACAATACTGTAAATGTAAATTTAGTACTGTAAAATGTTTACATATTCAAACATTTTGCAGTATTATTATTTCAATTGCATATAAAGAATGGGAGAAAAACTGTTTTTCTCTGAAAGCAACTATAATGCGAATTAATCAAATTTTATAAAATGTTTTGAAAGTTCTGCTCTTTCATTAGTTGTATAATTTTAGTTCATTTTTGACATGGTATTTGTAATAATTAATCTTCTATAGGTTCAGCCTATGTTTACAGTTAATATTTTTATTTAATTTTGTTTTACAGTATAGGGTACTTTATTGTATTTATTCACTCAAGAGAATGTACATTAACTATTAATTTTATTTTCCCATTTAATATTTTTTCTTCCTTACTCTGGATTTTTCTCAGAATAAAGTGTTAGATAATTATAAAATGAAATTACCCAAAGAATATCTTATTAAATATCAATATATTGTACATCAGAGATGTATTGTAAATAGTTCAATAACATGAATCATGGATTATAATATTAATTTATGTCAGTTTGGTGTTCTTTTGAAATGGTGTGCCGCATAGCACAAAAACCTCACAGAAACTCACCCACTCCCTTATTTGTGTGACAACCTATTGGTTTTTCATATTTCAAAACTGGCAGCTATGCACATTTAGTACTAGCTCCAATAGTAAGCTTTCTTTTCAGATGTTTGATTAACAGTAATAAGATCTCTTTTCAATTCTTTGATTGATGACTACCTTCTTTGGCACTATATGTGCATGCTTATAACTTTCTTTACATTGATGACTGCTTTTCTATCAACTGACTTTATTGCCAGTATAATAGGTTTTCGGCTGTAGCCTTCAGTATTTTTTTATTTAAAGGATTTTATAGTGGACATGTGGTATATTTATAAAAATGTTATTTGATACTTTTATGGCCAAAAATTAATGAATTAAGATAATTTTCTCAAAGAAAATCTGGCCCAATTTATCACACACAGCATAGAAGTAATTTGTTTAATTTTGTCTTTGAGTTTCTTGCTTATATATTTAAACATTTTACAGTATTATTATTTCAATTGCATAAAAAGGATAGGAGAAAAATTGTTTTTCTATGAAAGCAACTATAATGAGAATTAATTAAATTTTATGAAAGGTTTTGAAAGTTCTTTTATTAATTGTATAATTTTAGTTCATTTTTCTCATGGCATTTGTAATAATGTGAAGGCTGGGAAATATGAATCAATATTATAAATTTTTAAGCATATTTGAATGAGCAATTCACATTTTGTGCATAACTGTTTTGAAAATATGTTAGTACTGCAAACAAAAGAAGGCTAAAGCACAGTTATATTCATAAATTTTGCTTTCTATCTTTGCATACGTAAATGTTAACATTAATTGCATGCTATACATACATGTATAATCATTAATTACGTATATTCAGCAGATTTTTAATAAAAAAAAGTACTTCAAAAGGCATGATATCTTTTCCAAAACTATATGGGCAGTGAGGTTAAATTCACTTCATTGCATCCTATCACCAATGTGTTGATTTGTAAAGTCATTAGTAAGAAAAGTGTGTGAAATCTTCATTTAATAAAGTGATATTAATAAAATATAAATTTCAGAAAACGGTATTTACAGTTCGCATGACTTATGTTATTTTACATACAGCAATGTTTATCTTTTAGGGACATATCAAGAGGCAAGGAGCAGATTGCTATTCAGTGTGTAAATGCTGTAGATGATGAGCCACCACCTTTAGATTTCTTATATGTAACCGAAAATTGTGAAACGATGCCAATCAAAATTGATCGAACTATTACATCTTTGCAGGTTTGTAATGTAAAAATTTATTATTATTATTATTTTGTTGTTGTTCTGGGTACATAAATTTTGAAATATTAATAATTTAACTAAATAAATTTATAAATGATTTTAATTACTAATTTCTCTGCGTGATTTTAAATAAATTATTTATAAAGCTTTTGTATATAAAATTATATTTTACAAAAATCTTGAATAAATTTAAATGTTTATTTTAATAATTAAAAATCTTTTTGTAATGGGTATTATTAAAAATAAGTTAGCTGACTAAATTATTATGCTTAAGTTGACGGGAAATAGTTTTTAGACATAGTGGATGGTTTTACTAATAGTCGTTTTATTTAATCAATTCATCCAAATATGCATAGATGAAATTAGGTAAGTTAAAAAAAGTGCTATTTTATGAACAAGGTTGAAATAAAAGATGTTAGTTATTTATTTTCTATCCTTATGGAAGTAGAACTTTTCAATCCCTTTTAAATCAGTAATCTTTCAGTGTGCTATGTGTTTACAATTTTTAATTATTCAAAGCAAAGTTTAAATTTGAGGAGTTTCAGTTGGGCTTTTTATTTCTTTCAAACTTGCACATTATCACAATTTTAATTACATAATTTTTCCTCCTTATTTTACAGTCTTGCCATTGTGAAGATGATTGCTCAACACCAAGCTGTAGCTGTTCCAGCATTAGTTATCAGTGTTGGTATGACAAGGTAATTCATTCCCCTCTAAAATTGTGCTTTCTTAAACTTTTTAAATTAATCAACTGTAGGACAAAATTAAAAGGTTACATGCCTATTTTTTAAATAAATTAAACATTTTAGAAAATTGTTAATTAAGATAACTGGATTCAAGTACTGTAGAGGCAATGAATGTTTACACAAAAATGTTACCATATATATTGATACTGAAAAATAGAGAAATTTTAATGCAAGAATAATCCCCCCCCTTCCCAATAAATAAAATACAGAGTCCAAGATCTAGAAATGTTGAAACTTCGGCATATTTAAGAAATTTCTGGATTTTAGAGCATTATGTTAAATCTAGTAAGATGATATGTAGATGTGGCAACTCTAGAGACTTCACTTACTGTTTAGGTTAGGTAGAAAAGTGCTAAGTCACCACAGGTGGGCACCAAAGCAGTTGCAACCAGTGTGGCTGCTCTGGATGTGTCAAAACTTAGGGCAAAAGTGTGTGAATTTAGAGGAGCATGCAGCAGCAAAAGCTAGGGATGGCAGAATTTTTAGAATTTAGGGAAGGCACTTGAGCAGTGGAATTTAGGGAGATACTGGGGAGCAAAATATAGGATCTGCAAATCTTGCACTGCGTGGCAAAATGCTTTGTGCTGGCTCTGTACCTCCTCCTCACAACCACTTGAGGGCTGAAAGTGTGATCGGGGCAAACATTAATACAGCATCAATGAATGTGTTGCTATTGGCCATAGTGCAGTTTTCTAACCAGCAGGTATTTGAAAGTGACATATAAGAATCTCAGTCAGTTGTGTTTATGTTTTACCTGCTTCCTTTTGTTGTTATATTTTCCATTTTTAGACTTATTATAGGAGTATTTATTATTTTATTTATTTATTTATTTGGTTTGGATCTGGAGGTCGGGCTATTAGGTCATTCCAGATCTGGGATATCTGAACTTTAGACTGTGTACTGCACGTGCTTTGCTGTTCTGTATTACGTCATTTGTTTTTTAAGAATCAAACTTTGTATAATTGGGACAAAATGTTATGGTTTGTTTCACCATAATTAATTGGAATAAGTGCAGTGTTATAATATGTAGGTATTTTTAAATCATTGGCTTAGTTTTGCTTATTTATCCACAATAAAATCAGTTACTGTCTTGTTTACATTTAAAACTCATGCAAATATTGCCACTTCCTCCTTACCCCTCCTCCATTTGAAATGAGATAAAATGATCATGTGAAAATAAGCATTTTTCAGGTTATATAATTTATCTACTAATTTGAAAAATTTTCATTTGGATTACTTATTTATTAGGCAATGTGCCTCATGTATTTTAGTAGAGAAAATGTAAAATTTCTTGATTAGAAATTTGGGGGGGGGGGAAAAAATCTTTTTGAGTTATTCTTTTTAATTTTAGGAAGGACTGCTACTTCCTGATTTCAATTTACTTGATCCTCCTATGCTTTTTGAGTGCAACCGTGCTTGTTCTTGCTGGAGTTTAAATTGTCATAATCGAGTTTTACAAAACGGAATAACGTAAGTATTATTTTTAAATTCAAATACATCTTGAACCACTAAAAAATTATTTGTTTTAACATAGCATTTATAGTTGAAATTTGAAGCAAGATTTTATTTCTGTTTTTGAGGCAGAAGCATTAAAAATAAATAAAAAAATTTGTCATTGAAGAGTTGATGGTATAAAATGGGCTAAATTATTTTTAAATGCACTTTATTTTATTTGTTATGGGTAAATTAATTTCCAAATTTTTATACTCAATATAGTTTATGCCACTATAAATCCACCAGAGAATGCTGATGATCAATGAGTGCAAAGTTTTGGTTAATAGGGTACATTGCTTTGACATATTGTATATGCTTTTTACTTTAAATCATAAGTTGTATTTTAATTTCAAAATTTTATGAGTTCTTTGACGCATTTCTATTTTCTCATCTGAATCTGTGTTAGTGGTCAGCATTGTTAATTATAAGTACCTGTGACAAATATCAGTTTAATATTATGCAGTCTATTTAATATAAAATTAAGTATTTATTTCGTGTAAAATTTCTGTTTTTGAAAATGGAGAAATCGTTTTAAGCTGATAGTTGTAGAGTCATTAGCTTCTATTGAGGCAGGAACATGAAAAATGTTCTCTTTCCTAACTGGGATTCGAACTTTGGACCTCTTGAATACAATCGAGCATGCTTCCAATTACACCACAAAAGCACGTAGAAAGGAAGGGAAAAAATACCATATCTACTTGCCCTTTTAAAGGGCGACTGAGAAGAAAGGGACTCTGTTGTCAAATCCTTGTGCCAATGAATTATCATACACCACCTTTTAGTTAGGGTGCCAAATTGTAGAGTCATTTAGAATTTTTTTGAAAGTCAGAAAACTGAAGAAATCTGCATTGCCCTCACTTGGATTGAAACTTTAGATCTCCCAAATATGCATCGATTGTGCTTCCAGTTACACCACAAAGGCATGCGAAAGGACGGAGAAACTACTCTATGTAGTAATCATCTAAAATCCTTGTATTCATCCAAACAGCTACGTTTTAAATTAAATAGAATTTTGATTTGTTTTCATGTGTTTGATTATAATTTTCATTTAGAACTAGACTGTATTATATAGATTTATCACTGATTTATACTAGAAGTCAAGGTTTTTTTCTCTAAATAAGCTTAAAATAATAGTACAATAATTGCTTGGCAACTTTTAGTGTATTATTTTGGTCTTTCCTAAGGGCATTTGGCATCCATTTTGTGCAAATATGAGACATGTTTTGATAGCTCTTATACTATAATATTCAATTGAACAGCAAACTTGCAAATAGAAAAATGTCTTCTTTCTTTATTAGTCCAAAGGACGTTAGCTCAGAAGGGCTGTTAATTTCGTATTGGCATTTTGCGTTGAAAAAACTTTAAATGTCCGTTTCACTTTTCAAACTGTTGCCATCAAATATTACAGCCCTGTATTATATTTAAAGAAATTAAATAATGAAGAATCTTATGTATGTTTCTTGCCTTGTGATAAAACGACGGTACCTAGAACCATCAAATTTTGAATAACGTACCTTTTGATCTGAATATAGGCATCTGGAAACCCAAATTTGGAATTTTCTTTATTACCTATTTCATATTTTGTAAAACGTTTGACGAATTTTGTATTAACAAACTCAACAATTTCAAAGTGAGCAATGGCAACACTGTATGGAAAAAACTATTTTTATCTCCAGCATGCAAGACTCTACCAGAAATTCTTAAGATATGCTCATTTTAAAATTATTTTGCGATATTACTGTTGAACTGAATTTTATGATTTGAGTGCGAAGAATATGATATTTAATATAAATAAAGGTAACCCACAAAACATTAAAAAACGCCCGTTTGGGCATAATGTAAAATCTGAAAGCTTTCAGATTTTTCTATCTTTTATTTATTTCTTTTTTAATATTTGTTCTGGTGTTGATAGTTTAATGTTATTTTATTTCACACACAAAGTTTGTGGGCCATCTCTGAAAGGTTGCCCTACATTTCTTCATAATACAGTCAAAAGTCTTTAATCCGGACTCGTCGGGACTTCGGCGATTCCGGATTATAGATCATCAGTTTAAATCTGGTAAGATGGCATGCAGAAATTATAAAATTAAAAATATGAAACCCTAATTTATGAAATAAAGAGCAATTATGAAGGGTATCAAAATAAAAAAAAAAGGTTAATATTTATTTGTTTACTTTATTAAACATTTCTTTCAACTCGCACGTAGTCGAAATTAGAAAATTGCACACAGGAAACTATTTGATGTGTATTCGTGATATTTATAATGACGAGGAATTTGATTTAAATCATGTCAAAGACGGAGTACATCGAGATGAAATACTACATTTAGTAAGGAATTATAGGCCAAATAAAATAAAAACATCTGCCCTGAAGACAAGGATAGTGCTGACAGATCAACTTCCAATTCATTGCGCGCCACGACGTCTCTCCCCGCAGAGCATCGTGAAATTGATAAAATGATTTTGGAATGGTTAGAGAAACAAAGGATATGCCTTTATCCATTTTTTGCAGCAATTCCACATTTTTGTTTGATGGACATCGAAAACATGCATTTCGCTTGTAGATCCTTTTGGCAGCTCCAGAATCAGAAATTCTTTTTGACATAATCGAAAGTTCAAGCTTACTTTTATAAAATTGCTCTAACAGTCTGCAAAAAATAATAAGCCGTATCCAATTAGAAGATTGAGAAATAACTCAATCTGCAACATTAACTGAAATAGTTAATTAGATTAATTTTAGCTTAGCTTATACCGTGCGTTATACATTAAATGCACATGCGTAAACGCATAAACGCATGCTTAAAGGTGTTATGCGCTTGCTTAAACGCATATGCGCATGCATAAAAACTACGCATGCACAGAAAGTTTGTAGCTTTGAGGTCCGGATTATGGACGTCCGGATTAAAGACTTTTGACTGTATACTTTTAGAATCACTTGAAATGTGTCACAGTCTCTTTCGCATAACTAGACATAAATTCCATTGTGTTATTTTTCTAATTACTGATGTATTATTTTCATCTGCCATTTGATAAACATTAAGAAGTCTTACTCTGGATGTGTTGTTAGAAGTATATTTCTGTACATCAAATGTACTTGTTTTCATCATAACACGTTTGTGCTCCCTATTCACATATTACTTTACAGTTACTATTGAAAAGAATCAAGCACACTGTGATGTACATAAATTTTACTTATATTATCAGTTTTCATTTACAATTATATTTAAGCACCAAATTCTTCATTTCTACCCTATTAATGTGTATATATATATATATTAATATATGTGAGAAACATATTCAATTATTGCAAATAAACAGCATTTAAAGCTGAAGTCATAATGTTCTGTATTCAGAAAGCTTTTTGTCTGCTCTTTCACCTTGCCATTATTGTCTGTCGATAAAGCGCACAATAAAATAATGAAAGATCCCCTCTTTTTTTTAAAAAAAAAAAGTATTCTTGCCTTTTGAAATTTATTATTTTAATGCTTTTCTGCATATTCTTATTTTCATTTTTCTATAAATTTCATCTTGTAATTTTCTTAGTCAACTTTCACACATGATAGCTCTTGATCTACTCATCACATATAGTCATTTGGTGTTTTTTTAAGGTGTCGTTTGCAGCTCATTCGTACAAAAGGTAAAGGTTGGGGTGTTCGAACACTAAAGGATGTTCCAAAAGGAGCTTTTATTTGCGAGTAAGTAATATATTGATATATGTCATTTCACTGATTACAAATTATTCATGTAATTATTCTTGTATTTTGTTACCCAAATTTATTTATGAAAATGCTTATTGATATAAAAATTTGTATAAGGAAAGTGGAGATTATTGTGTTATAATGAATGCTTGTAGAAGACATTTCGAGTAATGCAAAAAATGAGGATGAGACTTTCAAATGAATGTCTTGAAAATTCAGTTAATTATTAACAGAGATGTGTGTGAACCCTGATTTACAAAATTAATGAAAGGGTATTACAAATTAATGAACCATATTATTCATACACCTTTATTTTTGACAGCAACTTTAGGTTACTTTAACTACTACATCGTTTCCCTATGGACTGACTAGTTGATTTTGAAAGGCTTCATCAGTAACTTTAAGCCCTAATATAACATATATATATGTAAGATAAAAATATGATGGAAATTTATTAACAAATTAAAACTCATAGGAACAAATTGGTTTAGTTTATTTAATTATGGCAAAGCACTAGAGGGCTATGTGCCTAAGGGGAGGGATGCCTTCGTGGAAGACTTTCTAAAGGAAACTGGCTTATGCAGACATTGCACATGAGGGAAACAACCATACAGCCAACCCATTTGCTGGGATTTGAACCTTGGACTGAACTACCAGTGTTCAGCGACTTACTCATTTGGTCACTGGTGGGCTTGGAACAAATTGGCAATAGACCTTTAAATTATTAATTTCAATGTAAGCACATTCCTGTTTGTTTTTCGTAACTTTGCCTTTAGTAACCGCAATGCAAAAACTTTCTCATCTGCTGTGTAGGATTAAAGCAAAGTGGTCTGAAATTATAAATACTCTGACCATGATTAATGCACTCTCTTTTGCTGTCTATGCTTGCAAACTAAATGACATCTCATGCTTAGCTGCTTCTGTTTATTTTTAAAAATATAATGCATCATACTCAAAATTGTGGGTTGCAGATTGTCCCTATCATGCTCGCCATACCACAGATTAATCAACAAGAAATAAAGATATGTTTGGATTATCAATTGATTTTGTAATTCTTCAAAAACTCCCATCATCTACTATGTTATTGATATTTCAGTGATCTTCTAAACTTCAATCCACTCATGACTGCAAAATAATTGGTATCTTCCCTAGTCAAGCACTCATCTAATATCAAATTATCTGCAACAAAATATTCAATACATATATGCTTATTTGAGTATTTAAGATGGCCATTGGCATTTTGATATTATTTGAATTATAAAATCATTCAAAGCTACTGACGACACTTTTCAAAGTGACGAGTGTGTCTTGGTGGAAATGGTGAAGTGGCTAAAGTGGTTTGAAGTAAGGTTTAAGACATGCGAGAAGAGAGGGAGAAAAATAGATAAAAAATTTCTGGATAATTATGGTTTTAATTTCTGATAAATATTATAATGAGTAATGCATATAAATCAATGACTTGGAACACATATTAATAAAAATAAGAAATGCTATCAATGTTGAATTTTGATTTTAAGCTGTTAAATTAAAAATATATGTTTTATAAAGGCTTCAATGAAGGTGTGTATTAGTGATGTAAATATCTTCATAATGAAGGTAAATTAATCAAAATAAAGGCTATAGTAAGTAATTTTATAAATTTAGCTTATAAATGCTGTTTATATACAATACTTCATGAGCAGACTGAAAAAGCTATGTCACTCAGAAGGTCAAACAACCTATATTAGCTAAATTTGTATAATTGAACTTAATTTTGTTGCTTGTTTTCATTACCTTCCCTTCATCAGAATAATATTAATAGAACACTAAAGAATACAAGAAAATATATTAAATAACAAGTTAATAGGTATTATGTAGCAGAAAATTTTATGATTGGTCATGCCACTCATGTAAAACTTCCTTGTCTTCAAAAATCACAAACTAAAAATATAAATGTTTTGTCAGTTGATGTTAGGAATATGGGAAGTATTGTATTACTGTTATTAGATTTCTTATTCTTAAAGAGGGAGAATTAAGATTGAAGTTGGAGAATTCATTCCTTCCCCTTTGCTTAGAAAGTATTAAAAGAATAATTGAATTTTTTGTAGGTATGTTGGAGAATTAATATCAGATTCTGCTGCTGACAAACGGGCTGATGATTCATATTTATTTGATTTAGATAACAGGGTAAGTTTTTTGAAATGTTACCTTATTTGATTATTCAATTTTAATGCATTTTAAATATCATATGAAAAATTGTTAAAAATATGTTCTGCATATACAAAACTTTCTTAAAGTTTTAGAGAATGGAAAATTTCTGAAATGTGACAGCAACAGAAGTGTTTACTGTCATTCTGAAAGATTTTTATTTTTGGTTATATTTGTTTGTTTCTCAAATCTGGAATTTTTTATTTGTATAAGAAGCAGTGCCAGTTTTTCAGATTCACTGCTGAAAAAATTTTAAAGGATCATAATCAGAAATATTGAACCTTTCAAACTGTATCAAAAGTTCTTCATAACGGTTGTAGTAAATAAGAAAGGTTATGTGAGCAATCAGTTGAAAGCATGAAGTGTAAGTCTAAACTTTTAACAGATCAAGGGTTCCCAAACTTTTCCAGTGGGCAGCACAGAATTTAGTTATTTTTTTTATGGTTTCCTGGATGTAGTAGTTCTACCTTAATGTTAATCAGGCACAGAAATTAAAACAACATTTTAGTGAAAAATTTTAATGATTTTAATTGATAAGAAAATATACAAGTAAAAGAAACCTTCGGCAAATTAGAAAGTCAATGGGATAAGTAAGCTTGTTGATCCCCACACAATTCTTCAAATTGCAGAAGAAGGCTTGATACAGCTATTCCTTACTCCACCCTGAGTTTCGAACAATAATACAGTCTTTATTTCAGTGGCAACTGAAAATCCGGCTTCGCATAGATAGTAAGTTTGAGAGGGAATAAGGGTCCTCGGAGCTTTAGAACTTAAATTTAGATGCTCAATTTTGATTGAAATCCAAAATTCCATTAAATCTGAACAAGCAGTTTTTATTTTCAGGATGTTGTTGTAGGGAGCTTTGGAAGGTATTCCATGAAAAAGGACAGCAGTTCCTGCGGAAAACGATTTTAGCAGAAGTTTTGTATTGAATTCATCTTTGGTACAATGTAGAAAAACAATCTTGAGCACCACCATCATTCAATTTTCTTATCCGTAACTGCAGATTTTTCATAAATGTTGAAATCTTTTACAAGTTTCAAGATATGCATGTATTGCCCTGCAGAGACCATTTCAAGACATTTAATTTGTCAAGTAGGTTACACTAATATGCTAGTTTCAGGAAAAAGTCTCGTTCGGCAAAATACTTAGCAGTCCCATGACCTTCATCTTGCAGAAAAGTGTGAATATCTTGATTCAGCTCAAACGCATGGAACAGGATGTTGCTACTCAAAAGCCATTGGGAACTTCCATAGCAAAGCAAGGTCACAAGTTCAGCTTCCATGTCTTCACATAGCTTTTTTGAAAAATCTTGCTTTTAGTGGTCTATTTTTTATGTATTTTATTATGTCTGTGACACATTTTAATGCCAAATTAAGGACTGAGTGGCTTTGATGCAAATGCTTCCATGTAGATAATGCAATGGGTCCACACAGCATGTGGTGTTTTGCTGAAAATAAGTGCCTGCAGTCCTTCATAGTGATTTGACATTGATTAACCACATCAAGAGCAACTAGTTGAATGAGCTCTTCTGCGATAGTGTGCGATTTTTGCACTTCGTCACTCTGTGAGCTGTGTGGAAAAACGCTAGCTGCAAGTTACTTGGAACTGACACTTGTTTAGTGAACACACTGCTTTGCTTTTGTAAATCTTGGAACTTTCTACTAAAATAATTGCTAGATTTGTCTATCAAGTTAGGGTAAATGGTTTCTAGATGTTTAGCTTACTCAGTAGTATATTTTCAAGTGCAAAGATTTTTTTAACATACAATACTTCTGTCATTCGTTGACTTTCATCGTTGTTTAGTTCTACTAAAATAAAACCAAAATGAAAGTAACTCTCTTTGTAGTTACAATAGTTTCGATTATTTTCTCTTCTGCCAGTTGTTGTTGCCTGTCACTCAACCTAGAACTATCACTACTATCGGTTTTCATGTTTAATAAAAATCTTTTCCATTTGCAAAATATCACTCGTCGATTTATTGCAGTCTTTCATCAAGATCATAACTTTTTTATAGATGTATAAGATTAGAAGACCTTCCCTGAAGTTCAAGAGCTTGATACTGATGGTCACGAAAGGAAAAAAAGAAACATCAACAGATGCCAATGCTGAAAAGCCAAATATAGCAATCTTGTAGTAAGAGGTGCAAAACATTTAAAGAATAATTTAGTACATATCTGATACAGTAACACAGAGTTACTGAAAATTGAAAGTACAAAGTGATAGAATAAGATAGTGCTTTAAAAAATGAAACTGAGAACTAGAATTACTTTAAATTAAAATGAGAAATAAAAATGTTAAAAATATTATTTAAATGGAATTAAATGAACAACTGAAATAGCAATATAAAAAAAATTAAGAAACCAATATTTTAAGAAACAGAATAAAAAAATTAATGAAAAATATGTAGTGTTCAGTGCAAGTCTAGCTTCTCCATCAAGCAAGGCTTTGCACTTGTCCTTACTTCATGGCACCTCAGGGTGCCATGGTACACAGTTTGGGAAACCCTGTAATAGATAGTTAAATTTGAATTCAATAAGTTATATTAGCATTTAAATTATATTTGTGCCATTGATAACTGCAGATTATTTTAGAAATTTTTAATAGCATATATAAGTATGATGTATTTGCTAAGCAGTTTATTATGGGAAATTATTAATGTATGATGAAACCAAAAAAAGAACGAAGAACAGGTTTAATAACTGTAATTAACCTTTAATATGGCCTTTTAAAAAATTATAGTTATTCTATATTTTGGTAGATAAGATATTTTTTTCCTTTTTTTAATTCATCATTTTTTTTTTTTTTTTTTTTTTTTTTTTTTTTTTTTTATGAAAGATCATTCATTTTTCTTATTATATCAGGTATAGCAAACCAAACTTTTTTTATACAAAGCTTGAATTCTCTTTCTAAATTAAAAATTGTTTTGTTGCTTTCTAAAAATTCAACTTTTAAAAGGAAAATTTCACTCCATATGTTTTTGTTAAGTGTCTCTAATAATACATGAGAAGATTTTCCTGACCATCATAAGCAAGTGAATACTAAAAATTAATATATATTTCTTTTTCACATATTTTGTTACATAAATTTAAATTAAACATTTAATTCTGTCTTAGATTTTTGTTCTCTTTCAACTGTGCTTGAATGCTGCTCTTCTCTGGTAAGTTTCATATTTTATCTTCTTTTCTTTAGGATGGTGAAACTTATTGCCTAGATGCCAGATATTATGGTAACATTAGTCGTTTTATAAATCATCTTTGTGATCCTAACCTAGTTCCTGTGAAGATTTATGTTGATCACCAAGACCTCAACTTTCCTCGTATTGCATTCTTTAGCTCTCGAGAAATTAAGCAGTATGAAGAGCTTGGGTAATTATTCTGTGTTATTATATTTGTCATTTTTCATGCATTATATTCCCCCCCCCCTTCTAAAATACACTTATGTCCATAAATTAAGGATAATTGAGTCACGCAGAAATTGAACTCTAAAATAAATATATCACCTGTAAAATCACTACACACATCTTCAAGAATCATATGCAAATTTCAGGAAGTAACCAGATGACACCGATGGTACGTCACAATACGAGAGTGTAAAAGAGTGATATATAAGGAATACAGGCAAAGAAGTAAAATTGTTCACAGGCGCTTTATAAGCATTTCAGTGCAATAACCGGATAGTTGTGACACAAAGGATGCAATTGGATGATTTTTTACGTGGTAGAATTATCGGCCATCTTGACTGTGTGCGTACCCAACTGCAAGTATCAGACGAACTTGGAATTGCCCAGAGTGTCATCTCCAGGCTTTGGCAACGATTCCAAGATGATGGTAATGTGAGTAGACGTTACAGCACAGGTCGCCCCAGAGTTACAACGCCGAATGAGGACCGGTTTTTGGCAGTTATTGCCAAAAGAAACAGGCGGAGCACAGCCTCAGACCTGTCTCGTCAGCTCTCTTCAGCCACTGGTACGACAATTTCAAGGCAGACCGTGTACAGACGCTTAGGGCAGATTGGTCTATATGCTTGTAGACCTGTCAGATGCGTTCCACTTACTGCAACTCACTGTCGCCTGCGGTTAGCCTGGAGTAGAGAGCATGCATTGTGGACACCGCAACAGTGGGCTTGTGTGATGTTTTCCGACGAGTCCAGGTTTAGCTTGCAGTCTGATTCTCGCGGACTTTCATATGGAGAGCTGCAGGTACCCACTACCACCACGAAAACATCATTGAATGACACCATTACGGTGGTGCAGGAGTGCTCGTTTGGGATGGAATTATTCTGGGTTTTAGAAATGACCTGCATGTTCAAATTGGAACCATGACAAGCCAAATCTACCGGTACGTCATTCTGGAACAACACGTATGTTTTTTTGGCGCACAAATTGTGTTTATGGATGACGACGCCCGTCATCACCATGCAAACATTGTAAGCGAATGCCTTCAATCGGAGGATATCACCCGTATGGACTGGCCAGCATTCTCACCGGACTTGAATCCAGTAGAGCACGTGTGGGACATGCTTGGCCGACGAGTTGCAGCCCGTCAACCTCCTCCTACATGTCTACCGGAACTTCGGAGAGCATTGCTTTTTGAGTGGTATAATATCCCCAAGATCAGATCGATAATTTGATACTCAGCATGCCTAGGCGTTGTACGGACTGTATTGCATCGTCTGGGAGACATACAATGTATTAACAATCATACCAACCATGTAATATTGGTTTTTGTAAATAGGTTTTTTTTTTTTTTTTTGTAATTTGCTCCAGGGAGAAAAAAATCGCTAATTTTTTTAATAATATCAAACATATAGCATCTTTTTTTGCTCTTTACCTTTTGTTTAATAAATAAGCTTTACAAATAAGTCAAATTTGTTTTGCTTCTAATTCTTCCTTTGCCTGATTTTGCATTATCCTTAATTTATGGACATAAGTGTATTTCCAGTCATGTAATACTTATGGGTTAATGAAACAGGGTGAAATTATTACATTACCCTTTGAAGTAGTAAAAGAAAAGCACTCAATGTAAGTATTATAATTTGATATTTAATAGGTTGTTAGCTGTCAGTCAATGTAAATATTGAGCAGTATTCAGTAATTGAGTTCTTGGCAAAAAAAGATGGCTGACGATTATATATGAACACTAAATTGCCGACTGTGGTGATATCTAAGGTGATACATCTTCCTATACAACCATCAAAAAGGCAGATGGATGACTGTATTTAGACATAAGAGAGTTTTACCTTGATGATGTCGTGTCAGATTGCAGTTTGGATGTTACTATTGAAGAAATGTATTCTCAATTCTATGGAATCTATGACAGAAAATAGCCAAGTGAAAATTTCTGAAATTACTTCTGAAAGAATATTGAAATCATAAATGAAGAAACATTGGATTGACTGTCCTTGGGAACTGCAGGGGCATGAAGAGAGACTGTTGCTTATCAATTATATACAACAGAAAATGTTTGACATGTGTTTAATATGCTAACCTGTTAATTCAATTCCAATAAGCCACGAAGTGACTTCAAAATTGAAATAGGAAAAGTACAGGAAAAAGAGCAAGGCATATTATGGTTTCATATCTGAAATAAAAGTAAACTCTGTAAAGTAATTATCACTGGAAATATAGAAGTCTGTTCAAACTTGCATGTGATTATTGCTTGGATGGAGAAATTAAATAATTCAGTGCACAAATAATAGTTTCTTATCAGTATTTTTTTTTTTTTTTTAATCTCTAGAACAGGCTGAAAAAGTATTCTGCATGCAAATAAGGAAATTTACAAGGATCTTTGTATAAGAATATAGTTCACCAAAGTTTGGCATTCATCTTTGTATATATATATATATATATATGTAAGGTAAAAAAGTTTAAATCAAAATTTTTTAATAAGTTTAAATCAAAATTAATAAGTTTAATAAGTTTAAATCAAAATTATAATTTAAAATGCATCTTAATTGCTCATTTTTAATTTGTCTCTAATAATAACTTTCTCTAAACTGCGTCATATCTAAAAAGTATTCCAGATTATGTCATCTTCAAAATACTGCATTGCCTATAAATTTTAGCCAATCAGATTAATGAAATATTTTACTATAAATATTGTGGCAATCCTACTCCCTTTCTCTGCTTGTGCTTGCTAGCTGAAGGACGGCTTTTGCTTTGTCTGCTTTGGTTAGAAATGTAATGCTCCATCATGAAAATTGTGGGGTGCAAATTGACTCCCATTGTGAAGTGCAACAAGTAATAAAGATATATTTGATATATTTGGAATATGAAGTGATTTTGTGATTCTTCAAAAGTCTCGATGGCCAAAATATGACATATATATGTGTGTGTGTATAAATTTGCAATAAAACGTATGTACATTTTTCTGTAACATTAGAATGATTTGAAGCTCAGTGATTCTTAATTGAAAAGATATTCATTTAATTAAAGTGCCCAACAGCGGCCGAGCGGTAAAATCGCTGAACAGTGGTAGTTCGGTCCGAGGTTCGAATCCCACGAACGGGCTGGCTGCATGGGTGTTTTCGTGGTTTTCCCCATGTGTAACGTGTATACGAGCCAGTTTCCCGTAGAAAGTCCTCCACGAAGGCTACCCTCCCCTTAGGCAGATAGCCCTAGTGTGCTTTGCCATAATTAAATACACCACACCACACCACACCAGCACCATTTAATTAAAATATTATACAGCTATATTATTGAGTTACTAGCTAATGTTGATTGTCATGTTTATGATATAGGATATTGTTTTTAGCATTACATTTCTGTGCATTTGTATCCTTTTTCTGCTTTTGAATTAATTTCTTTCTTATAAAATGTATTGTTGCATATGTATGGGGTCGTTATGAATTGAATGCACAAGTCCGATGAAAAATGAACAAAAATTTATTATGTTAGCAAATAAAACAAAATGCCTAAATTTCCTCAGATATTCATACAGAATTACAATATCTCACAGTAGTTATCTTTTAACTACTCAAACATTCAACAGATCTTAATTCAGAATGGCTAGAGAAAGCTAATCCGCGAATTCGCTACAGTCAACAAGATCAGTTCTCTAAACAAACTCTTAAAAACAACAACTAACTAAATAACTAACGAGTTGAGGGGTTTTCATGCCGCTTATATAAGCTTTTTAAATGCGCGTAATTTTTAGTAATTGAATGACCAGTTTAAATATCTGTGATATAACAAGACTGGGGAATTTTTTAAATACTTTCTAATGATCAGATAAATAATTTAAAGTTTCTGTATATATGAAATTAGTTTTTTACCCAATATGTTGACCTTTTTTGTTATTTATTTATTTATTTTAAATTTTTCTTCCAGTTTTGATTATGGTGAAAAATTTTGGGCCATTAAGTACAAATCTTTTACGTGTGACTGTGGTACTCCCAAATGCAAATACTCCAAAGAGACTATTCATGACACTTTAGCTAACTATTATAGAAGACTGAAAGAAGAACAAATGGAAGAAAGTGTTCAGCAGCCTCCTGTACAACCTTTGTAAAACTGTAATTGGTTTGAATCATTGTTCATGCATTAACGCCATGTTATATCATAAAATGTTATTTACTTTTCATTAAAGAACATTTCTATCATATTGTGTAAAACTATTTGTAGCTGGGATTAAATGTGGATCAGATTTTGTACCAAATGTGAAGAATGAGTTTTATTCTTGGCTAGATGTACATAAAGTGTTTGAATCTTTATGATGGTCTGGAATTTTAATAGGTTATTGGCTGAATCTTAGAAAGCAGAAGCTTGTATAAACATATATAAATCTGAAATCAAATTACCTTGCTGTTTTGTATGAGTATTACAATTTTCATAGTCTTGATCAGTGATTCCTAACACCGTTTAGCAGAACATATGTCATTTTGCTATATGTTGATCTAGATGTTAAACTGTTGTTATTGTTTTTGCATTAGAACTGATCTTTTATCTGCCTGGTATTTTCCACTTTGTCAAGACAGAGTGTTATGGCTGACAGACCAATATGAAAATCATCTTTAAAATGCACTGGTCTGATTAATTAAGGAAAAGAAAAATCAGATTGAAGATTCACAAAAAGATGATTTTTAAGATGGGGACGGGGAATTAAATGGATATTTAATTCGACTTTCGACCTTGTGGAACTTTGATATACTATCTAAAGATATCTTAAGTAGCAAGATTATAACTCACAATATGCATAAGGTAAACTGTAAAATCTATGATCTCTTTGATGAATTTTAAATGAAATTTTTATTTTTGTTTTGTATCTGAATATAATTTTGTAAACAAGTTTGATGCATTTTCTATGTACTTGAGTTAATAATATTGATCTGTGGAAAATGCAAGAACCTATATTACATGCTGCAAATTATGTCCATAAAATGAATTTTTTCCCTTCTTTTATGTTGTTAATTTCATTACCTCCATGCAGCAAATAATATCAGTTAATGTAATATGGATTTACTTTATAAATCCTTCTTTTAATATCTGCATTTGGAATAATCAATAAGTAAAAGATCTAGGCATGGGCTCTAATCTCCTATTGTATCCAATCTCTTCACAAGAGTTTTGTATGTGAAATTCTCAGCATTTGAATTAAAATGGTTATTTAGGTTAACAAAGCAACAGAAGGGGATTTGGGGGGTGGTAGATTCTAGAGCAGACTTTTTTAAAATTTCAATTTAAATGTGTAATAATTCATCCTAAACACAAGTACTCATGATTGCAGATGATTTTGGCCTTCTGCGAAATTAGTTATGTTCAGTGCTTATGTTTATTGATGTTCTCAGAAATACTGGTCATTTTCAGATGTATTTTATATGAAAGGGTTTAATGGTAGTGGAAGGAGTGGATGCAAACATCTCTCACTGTACAATTGGTTGAAGCCTCTTCTCTGACTAGTTTTCGTGTCCTGGTCATTTTATCAGCCTATTCAATGCTTACATGTAACTTTGTATGTTTTTCACAGTGTTAACATGCTAATGAAAACATTGCTTTGTAAATAAACTTAAAAAAAAAAAAAAAAAAAAAAAAATTTAAACTTATCACAATTAAATTTTAGGAATGCTAATGATTTGCAATAAACATAAAGTAACTCATAATAAATGCCTTTAACCCTCTAAGCATTACAGGTTTGGTCCTGAAATTTTAAAAGTTTCCCACGATAGCATGAATAAGTGGTATTTTTCTTGATTAGAATTCCATACTGACCTTCTTGTTTTGTATCCTGACTCCGTCTGTTCCAATATGTATCCAATCCAAAATCTGATTGATTAAAATCTAATGGTAGTTTTCATGTGTAACAAATGGGAAAGCCATCCTTTAGTATGATATTTTACTTCAGTAATCCTTGAAGGTTAAATAGCAGTGATATGCATGGGGATGTAATTTCAAAGCAGTTAGTTCTTCCGCTTCTTAAATATGGTTGGATAATTTAAATGAAAGCGGTAAAATCAAAACTGTATCCATATATAACAGTAATATATAATATAAATTATACAGTGTAACAAAAATAACTATTCTTAAATTATTTTCTATTCTTAATTTGGGAAAAGCACAATAAATTATTCTGTGAGTACTGATGGACAGTACTGATTTGTAATTGAATATGAGAATATCGTCAGAAATTCAAAAAATTAAATTCTATGAAAGCAGTAAATTTCAGATGTACATAGGCTCTTATTCTTTTACACTTATAGTCTCTTATTTATTTTCTTTCCTATTCTTTATTCATCATAATATCTCATCCACATTATTGTTCTCAAAACATATTTAATACTTATTTTATGATGATCATCAACTAGTGCTTAACATATAGCTTAAAAATAATATATTTTAACTTTTGGAACATACTGTTCAAATAATCATAATTCAACCGTGGTATAGGATATTATTTTATGTATGATTATTCATTGAAAAGTTAAGAAATGACATTTAAATAACGTCACATTAATTATATTCAGCATTATCTTAACTCCAGTATAAAATATAGACATTCTCAATACAAAAATGTTTGTGCTTAGGGAATTCTAACATGAAAGAAAGCAGAAGTAATGAGATTGGAAAGGAAAGTATAAATTATTTTATGTTTAAAATCAGCATGTTTGTGTTAGCGTAAATCCTTATTTTTGATACATAGTTCTTTCTGAACTTCCAATAGCAGCACAACAAACAATTGTATCTTTTTAAATTAAAAAAAAAAAAAAAAAAAAAATACTAAAATTATTGTCTAGAGTACTGACAACAGTTGCTTCCCATTGTAACAAGGGAGTGGACAAGGGGCCGGTAAAAGAAAAATATTGTGATGTGTTGACCTTAGATTAGTGGTAGGATTTCCACTATCTATGTCTTAACTTCATGGTTATGAAGAAATTCTGGACTATCATGGATAAATATTGTTATACTACCTGCTATACTGAAAAATGTATTATTAGTGTACTTTATACTTGATTTTATGTAGATATGATATTTGAGTGAATGAAATGGCTCTAAAATATATTTTAAATTATGTAAGTAGATTTGAATATTAAAATTTAAAATACACTCTACATACTGATTAAAGAATTGCATACTATTTTTTAGGTTCATATTTTTAAAATATAGGTTTAGTGGTAATTTGGCAGTAATTATATAATTTTTAAACTTAATAAATAGCTGAAAAAGATTGAATTTTCCTCCTTTCTTATATGTTTAATAGTTTTTTATATATGTATTTTTCTTTGCTATTTTTTTGTGTCAGACTGAAATTTTTCATATGCTGTTAAAATTATTCCATATCCATTTATTATTTTCATTATGATGACAATGAATTATTTATGAAAGGAGCACCTTACTGTAATTGAAAGTTTTATCATACTTTTTATGAATAAATTAAATATTGTGATTATTTCTTTTATTTATTTATTTTCTTAGATACCAGTGATTATATTTGAAAGGAAAGGAAACTTTATTATGTAATTGTAAAAGCCAAAAATGTGTAACAGGAATGTAAAACAGGAAATCGAGATATTAATGAAAGGTATTTATCAAAAATATTTCTAAATGGAATGAAAAGACTACATATACCATCCTTATGATTTATTTCCAAGTTTTCTAGTCATAACACGTTTATTTTTACATAGGATGTTTGAAAAATATCAAACTTTAAATATTGATTGTAGTGATGTACTTAAAATTAGTGTGTTTAGGAAAATGAGATAGAGAATTTTATGGAACAGTTTAAGTCATTTAGATTAAAGAAATCTGTAAATATAAAGTGTAATCTTTATCTTGATATGCAGATGAGTTATTATAATACTTGCTAAGTATAGCAACATCTTTATTCTCATGATGGGGGATGTGTAACCTGCCAGTGACTCCATAAAATGATGGCAGTATTGGCAGTAAGTGTACTGTACAGTCTGTTATGGTAGATCAAAATTAGATGAAGCAGTCTGCTGCATATACATCTCTTTAGGTAATATCACAGGTGTGTTTAATGGGATCAAGAACAAATCAACTCGGAGGTCAAGCAAACACCCATATTCAATGGAATGTTTCTCAAACTGTTTGGCAAAAATTTGGGAGCAATGTATTGTTACATTCATTGTCTTGTTGTAGGTACATGATACTGCCCATGATGTATAGTTGTTAATGATGCTGATAGCCATACCATTGGGCTCATGTTTTAATCCCAGAGAAGGCATGGATATTTGTAAGTTTATAGTGTCTGTATGGCAAGGGGACATGCAAATTACATGTTGATGCAGAAGCTCTGTCAAGGGGTTGGTAATAGGGGAAGACACTATAAACCACCTCTTGAGGTGTTCTCCATCAAAATTGGGGTAGGGCTAGGCAGTTAGCAAGACCCAGCAATCTTTAGGAATGTTTAAGTGATGGCCTTGCTTCAACATGTACTAGTAAGTAAAGATTTTATGAAGGGTACTGTTGCCTCCTATGCGGCAATATAAGTTATGTACAGCGCATTGTTTCTGCGCAACTTCAAAGTTATGTATAGCGCATAGTTTCTGCCCAATTTCAGTTAGTTAAGATTCGAACTCTTACCGTAGCATACATGTTTTGGTCCCGAATGGTCGGGAATTTATCATTTTTGATTTAGATTTTTAGTTATGATACAGTCCACAAAATAAAATTGGTTGTTGTTGTTGTTGTTGTTGTAAAGTTGTCTTTAGTGTAGAGTCTAACCAGCAACCTCAAAACATTGGTCATCGTCGAACCACAGCTAATTAAGAAAAAAAAAATGGCTAATGAAGACATAACTACGTTGAACAGAAAACGTGGTGGTATTAGAGCACAAATAACGAAATTAAAGTTGTCTGTCAGTGGAAAAAGTGATGATTTTGGTTTCGAACAAATAGAAGTATTACAAGAAAAAGTGCACAAATTAAATAAACAAATTGATGAACTTCGCTTGGATTATTACAAAGTGTGCAAGGATGAAGAAATATCAGACATCAAAGCTACTTTTGAAGAAATCGATATGGATATTACCAATGTTCAGGTAAGCCTGAAATGTCTTTATACTTCATTATGTAGTAAGAATGCAAATAATGAGTATGCAAATAATAGTATCCCAGGAACAAGAAGTAATTCATTGAATTATAAATTGCCTGAAATAACATTACCTAAATTTTCTGGCAATTTTGAAGACTGGAATTTATTTAAAAACCAATTTGTAGCTTTAATTTCATCTAATAGACAATTAACAGGTTCTCAGAAATTGTTTTATTTACAATCTTGTTTAATTGGTAATGCAAAGCAGATACAAACAATAGATGATACATTTTCTTCCTAATTTAAGGCACTTGAGGAAAGATATGTTAATAAGAGACTGGTTGTAAATTCTCATATCAATGAATTACTTTCTATTGAAAAAATAGTTCATGAAAATCCTAAAGATTTACAATCATTAATTGATAAAGTTCAGAAACATTAAGGAGCATTAAAATTTATGGAATTAAATATGGATAAATTAAGCAAAGCTTTGCTGATTAATAATATTCTTAATAAAATAGATAAAGAATCGTGTAAGCAATTTGAAATGTCATTACATAGTAATGATTTATGTGAATGGGATTCTTTCATGACATCTCTTCAAAATCGATGCCAGATGTTAGAAAATATGCAAAACAAAACTGTATTTGCAAAAACGAAACAAAACATTCCTCCAAATAAAGTTCGATTGTTAGTGTGACAAAAACGAATAATAATAATAAATTTATGTGTCCCAGTTTGCAAAGATAATCACGCAATTTTTAAATGTGAAACATTTCTAGCATTAAATCCCATGGAACGATATGAAATGATTAAATTGATTATTTCTTTGTGCATTAATTGTTTGCGATCAAATCATAAAGTAGCTTCCTGTCAGTGTAGACACTTTTGTTCGGTTTGCAAATCAAAACATAATTCACTTCTTCATCGGAATGGAGCTTCCATGTCGTCTGCAACAAGTGGGGGAAAGCAAAGTGAAACTACGCCCTCCCCAGAGAACCACGGAAACCGAATGAGGCTGTTTTGAATAGCAATAAATCAACAGAAAAAAGCCTTATCGGTGTGTCTTTTTTCGAAAATAAAACCGTTCTCCTTTCAACTGCGATTGTTTCGGGTTAGAAATATTTATGGCCAATTCGTTACAAGCAAGAGCTGTTCTTGGATTCAGGATCACATGTCAAATTTTGCTACAAATGAATTTCTGTGAGCGTTGCAAATTTAAAAAAAGGAAAGAATAAATATTCTTGTTTCTAGTTTAAATGGGCAAATTTTCAAACATTAAATCTCGTACTTTTGCTTTTATTTTTAATGGAAATAATTCGTTCTCTGCTTTATTAATTTTTTTAGTTGTAAATAAAATCACAGATTTAGTACCTTCTACAAATTAAATATTGAAAATATAGATATTCCTGATACATCAAGTTTGGCTGATCCAGAATTTGTAACTTGCATCTAGTCATAGATCTGCTTTTAGGAGCAGAAATATTTTATGACATTTTTATTAATGACCAATTTAAATCTTCTACAAATCACTCGCTCATTTTCAGAAATTCTGTGTTTGGTTATATAGCTACTCGGTTCTTTGAAAACATCCCTTGAAAATTGTCAGAAGTTATTGTGGACTTATTGGTAATGTTTATAATATTGATAGATTAGGTAGAAAAATTTTGGTTAGTGGAAAATATTGGTGAAGAAAAGCCAATTCTTAGCTAAGAGGAATTCTGTGAACAACCTTTTAAAGACACAGACGAAATGAAGATGGCAGATTTATCATAAAAATGCCTATGAAAGACGAACAATTAGGAGATTCAAAGCACTTAGTCAACATTAGACTCAATCAATTAGTTAAACCTCTTAGCAAAAATGCTACATTGCAACATTTATATCAAGATTTCATAACAAAATATGAAAATTTGGACCATATGGAAAGGGTCGATGATAATTCAAAATCGGAACTTGAATATTACCTTCCCCATCGTGGAGTATATAGTCCAGAGAAGTGAAGTACAAAATTAAGAGTTGTGTTTAATGCTAGTGCCCCAAGCTCAGATGGATTAAGTTTGAATGATTTACTTTTAGCGGGAGCAGTCCAAGAAGATACTTTTGATATTCTTGTGAGATTTAGAAAACATCAGGTTGCGGTTATTGTGGATATACAAAAAATGTACCGGCAAATTTTAGTTGATGAATCCCGAAGAGACTTACTTTGGATCTTATAGAAGAGAAACCTTAACGACTCACCTGTGACATATAGACTCAAAACGGTGACTTATGGTACTAAAAGTGCTCCATTTTTAGCCATTAGATGCATAAAGCAAGTTGCATATGACGAAATGCATAAATATCCTGAAGCTGCCAAAGCTGTCTTGTCAGACTGTTATTGTTGATGATGTCATCTCTGGGTCATCAAACTTAGATTCAGCAAAGGAATTGAAAAATCAGCTTATACAGCTTTTTCATAGTTGTGGAATGACTTTGCACAAATGGAACTCTAATTCTCCTGAACTGTTGGATAGCCCTTCTACAAGCTCTGAGCTTTCATTCTCCTCCAAAAGTGATAATGTGGTTAAAGCTTTAGGTATTACATGGAATTCTCAGAAGGATGAATTCAGCTTTAAAGTCTCAGTCAAGGAGAAATCATCATATACCAAAAGAGACATTTTATCGACAATTGCCAGACTTTATGATCCTTTAGGAATGATTGGTCCGGTAATCACCAAA